GTCGTCAAATACATAAAGTATGCGTAGTAGTAGTAGTAGTAGCAGTAGTAGTAGTAGTAGCAGTAGTAGTAGTAGTAGCTCAGTAGCTATGAGGGTGGGGTCAATGTGTAGCACGGAGGCGGCAGCGACCACTGAGTTCTGACAGTGCATTTTGTATGGGCCCCTTCCTGGAACAGCATGGTGCTAGCTGCTTGGGGTAGGTATTGCACCTATCAGCAGCAACAATTTATGAGCAGTATTCGTTGCAGAAGCTTGCTCAATCTATTTGAGGCGGCGTGTCAAAACGTCTGGTTCGAGATAGCCACTCGCTGCAACGTATTGGTTGGTGCATCTTTGCATTCCGGGTTTTCTCTGTATGGCCTCACAAGAGCCCCCAAAGACCCTTAAAAAGTAAAGAACGATTCATGAGGCCATGAGGATCGTCGCAGTGGCCTTGGTTGCCGCGTCTTGGCTGGAATGCCGAGTGGATAGGGACATGCGACTCGCACACAATGTCACAAGGCAGACCCCTGTTCTCTTTCCTTGCAGCCAGCGTGGAGGTTATTGGGAGTGAGAACGGCCTGGAGTTCGTCCTGGGATTCACGTTGTGCACTGCAATTGCTGTTGGCACCTTCCGACCCTTCAGGCAGCACCAGGCGAAGTGTGATGCAAATAGGTCAATTCAGGCTGTGTAGCCTTGTCAGCTGGATTGGTGAAACCCTTCAGTGTGCGCCACGGCCCATTGCAGATGTTTGCAGGTGAACGATCTGCAGTGCGTCTGCTTCTTGTGTTTCTTGGCCCAAATTTTTGCCGCTGGTAGCTGCTGTGCTCAATCCCGCAGAAGTCCTTGTGCTATTCTAGGTGCAGGAAAATTTGCACCACTTTGTATATGATATTCCCCAGGAGCTATTATTGTACTTTGGGTACAGTACTGTAGACTATATTTGTTACAGCTGACCACACGCTGTGCGACCCAGCGGAAGTCCTTGTGCAATGATAGGTGGCATATACCCCAGGATAGTTGCAGTACTTCCGGCATTAATGCTGGCGCAAGATTTCACGCTATCTAGCAGCCTGCTGAGCGTGCCTCAACATTTGTGGGCAGTACCTTCTTATAGCCAAAGGAAGTTCTTGGAGGGTTTGAGCGTCACGCTGCGATTACCGGGGAGCTTTGGGCATCTTGGAGCGATCCATGCACAGCTTTAAGCGTCACCTGCAAAGTTTTGGACATCACGCTCTGATCTTTGCAGACTTTTAGCACTCCAGGCGTCACGGCCAATCTGTTGGAGACTTTCAGGCGTTGCAATGCGATCCCTGAAGAGTCTTGTGCGTCACGGCGTGATCCCTGGAAAGTTTGTGGCGTCAGCGTGAAATCATGGGAGAGTGCTTGACGTGACAATGTGATCCTTGGAGGGTTTTCGGTGCCACGGTGTGGTCCCTGCAGAGCTTTCGGCGTCACGGTGTGATCTATCAAAAATGTTTAGCGTCACGGTGTGATCTCTACAGAGTCTTGGGTGTCTCCGTTCATCCTTGGACACGGCGTGGCGCCTGAGAGTTTCGCGGTTCACGGTGTATACCGTCGTCTCATTGCAGATTGCTTAAGCCGTTTGGCCCGATCAAACGAAGCATAATAGATAGTGAATGACTCAAGTGACTTGAATCATCGAAGCCATTAAATTCACAACTGAGATCACGCTTCTGCAAAATCATTATTTTCCAACGGAGTATAGTTGTTGTCAACGGTTCGAAAACATGTATTCATTATTGCATAGCTCAATTTTCAACTAAGGTCTGGCCATAGCTGCAACCGGCTTCTCAAAAGGCTGGCCTCAGCCTAAATCAGCATCCAGTGTGACGAGCCCATCGATTCATGAACAATGTTGGTACTCATGAAGACTGCTTTCCATCCTTCCTTGATCCTAGCAATTTACATCAATTTTCCAAGAAAACTTGGCGGAGAAGGCTGGTTGTTGACGCCCCGCATAGCCCTGGGGGTGCCTTGCGTCGTGGCATTCATCCAGGCATTCTGGCCAGGCGCGACGGGCAGAGTTTTTTGCACAAGCGGGAAATTTCGCTAGTAATACAGTTTCCCTGAAGATGTAGTAATACGGTACAAACCTGGCAGTATATTTGGGGTATGATTCGGGGGTGGGGGGGGCCAATTCTTAAGGTGAGGGGATTATATGGCTTGAGACTTTCGAAAACTCTTGTGCAGATGGTCGCGAAGCGCTAGCTGTGCGCCTCTTCAAGGCCTGCGGGGAGCTTGTGATCATGACCCTAAACCTTGATTCCTAAACCCTTTGCCTTAGGTCCTTCAAAAAAACCTTGTGCCTTAAACCCTAAACCCTAAAAGCCCTCAACCCTTGTTTTGCGGGTGCCAGCCTTGCAAGCCCAGAGCAAACAATTTTGCTTGGGGATTTCTATGTACCTAGTGTATACCCTTTGTTTGTATGTATATATGTACATATCTTTCTGTATGTATATGTGAAGGTATATGTATACATATGATGTATGGTCCCGTTGATTCCTCAAGGGCTTACGGGCTCATTTTATGCATCAGGATGCAGAGACACGGTGGTCGGCACTACAGCGGGGCGAACCCGGGTCGTTGTTAATGCAATTATAGCCGTACTGGCTCCCTTTAATTATAGGGGTTGGTAGGGGTTAGGGTCATGTAGCGGGTTACGGAACTCAAATTGCGTTAGGGCTTAGGGCTCAGGCGTTGGGATTCGGGGTTTAGGGTCCGGGACGCAGCGTTAAGGGTTTTGGGTTTAAGGTTTAGTTACCACAATACGGGCTTATAGTAAACAATAGAATTTCTTTGTTAAGCCTCCGTATCGTATAACTGCATGACCCATATGTAGCCTCAGTTGTCATTTGCATGTCCGTCTGTTCCAAAACCAAGGAAACTGTGGAGTTCTCGTTGCAGAGCATCACACTCCTGTGAGCATTATCGCCTGAACAGAATGGGTCCGCGGAGGCCGCAGAGAGAGTTAGAAGGGCGCTTGGGTGCCCGCTGGGGATAATTGTTGATGAAGAGCGAGCTCTGTAAATTATTGCGTGCCAGGACCCTCTGGACTACTGATGTAATCGCATAGAAAGCTTCCGTGTGACCAGCTGCGTCACAATTGCATGACCGATTGTTTCTGCTGGTATGAGGTTTGAAAAGAACAAGCTTCGGGTAGAATGGTCATGATGATTGTCCGCAGAGGCCTGGACAAAATGAAATGATTTCGAGTCCTCATTGGAACAGCAAGAGGCGGAGCAAGATTTGACGGAGTGCGGAGGTGCCACAGAGGCCGCAGAGAGAGTTAGAAGGGCGCTTGGGTGCCCACTGGGGATAATTGTTGATCAAGAGAGAGTTCTGTACATTATGAATTTGCGTGCCAGGATCCTCCTGACTATTCATTGTCATGAAATTGCACAGAAGGGTTCCGTGTGACCAGTTGCGTCACAATTCCATGGTCAATTGCTTCTGCGGGTATGAGGCTTGGAAAGAAAATGCTTCGGCTAGCATTGTCCGCAAATACTCAGACAGTTGCAAGTCCTCCTTGACCCTAAATCGCCTCTGTATTCAAGCACCCGACACGCTAATCTGAAGCCCCGACCTCCAGATCTCAACCACAAAGTGTAAAACCTTTTAGTCCTAGACCCCAAGCCCTAAACCCGAATCACCAAAAACCATTTGCACCATCACGAACAATTTCACACCTCAAGCCTTAAGGAATTACAAGCTGCTGCGAGCGGCGCGACTGAAACCGGTCCTAGCCCCAGACGATGGGAATGATTTACAAGTGAATTGGAATTTAGGGTTTAGGGTTCTGGGCTTTTCGCTTGCTGCCTTCAAGGCACCTGTTGAGCCAGGTTATAGGTTTGATTTTTTGTTGAAAGCTGAGCGCACCTCAGCCCAAATATGGCCTGAATGATCCCAAGCTGACGGCTTTGCGATCCTGGAAATCCCGTCAAGCTGTGTCTGCCAAGCGGAGTCCAGCTGACAACAAATCAAGTTACTCGGGTCTTCATTGTAAGCACACCTAACAGAGCTACCCTCAATCAAATGTTCGTGTACAGGCTTCTCAACACCTCTTTTTTTGCCTTCCGTTGTCCCTGCTTTACAAGCCTTAAGCCCCTTTTAAGGAATTGCCTCAACATCCTACGCTCTAAATGGCTCTAAACTAGCTCCTGAACCCACACACAAAGCACACAAAGCCATAAGCGCCAAGCCCTAAAGCCTAAAACCGAAATCCTAAACCCAAGATCCTAACCCTCAGAGCGTTTGATTGCCAAGGTCCTGCCGCGGGGTGCAACTGCCGAGGCGCATCCCTCCAACCAACGTGTTTTTGTTTTGGAAGTTGTGAGGCTACTCAAATCTGCACATTATAACATACGATACTGAATTATTGTATTTCTTGTAAGTTCATAGTCATATTCAACATGATGATGTCTTGGGGTAAGGGGTACAATGAAATCATTTCATCTTGACCCGTATAGTACTAGAGGGGAAATACGTGTATCAGCCAATAGCTAGCATGGCATCCAAATGCACCTCAACCCCAATCACCAACCCCAGACACCTCCCCCAAGCATGGATAGAAGTTGTGCACATGTTGACTTAATGAGGCAAACCCTAAACCCCAGAACCTAAACCCCAAAACCAAACCCTAAACCAACCCCAGGGTTGCCGAAACCTTCACCCCCTAAGTCTCCAATCTCAAGTTCTAGCCGTCATATCCTATAGTCCCTTGCAATAACCTTCCCGAACACACTCCCCCCACCCCCCTTGATATTGCGTATTCCCATGCTAGCATATTACAATATGTTGTGAATATTAAATATTATGGCGGTGGGACAGTTTTACACTAGTGGGAGGGGATTACTTACTTAGGTGGACAACACTAGTGTTTCGTGCTAGGCCTTGGCTAGTCTATACGTGATCTGATAAAATGATCCAACCCATTTCTCCGTTTTTCGTTCCCTACTAAACCAGGGAACTTTCACGGGCCATACTTTGACTAAATTATACGCTTTCTACACTGCGCTGCAAGCCTCACCAGGCTCGCAACAATGCTGAGCAGTTGGCGGCCAAGAAAAATGGCCAGGGTTAAAGAGCTAAGGCTTCCAGCAGGTGTTGAGGTTTGGGACTTTGAGGGTTGAGCTTGCGGTGCTTTCGTTCAGCCTTCAGGACTTAGGCTTTACCATGGTTGCGTCATTGCGCATTGGAATTGCTGGCTTCGCAGAATTCGTTCTTTGCTCATGTTGCTCCTGTTTCCGTGTGTTTCTAGAATTTCTCCTGGCCGACCTTCGGACAGGAATGGGGCCTGGAAGGATTGGACTTGCTGCCTACGATTTAGGGGACTGCGCTGGGGTATGGGCCATGTTTTTTTTTCCAAGG